TGCAAATGATATGAAAAGAATATGGGCAGAAGTAACAGCAGAAAACTTCCCAAACATGGGGAAACAATCTGACAATCAGGTAACTGAAGCATATAGAACTTGAAATACATCAACCCAATTAAAACCACACGCAGATATACAATAATCAAGATCACAGAAATTCAGCACAGGAACAGTAAACTAAAATCAGCTAGAGAAAGAAATAGAGCACATTAACCACTAAGAAGAATATATGCAGTGTATTATTTGTTGAAACGGTACTTTTGATTTGATTTGAAACTGTCTCATTGCTATCTGTTTATCAATAAAACTGTAGAAAAAAAAAGAAAAGAAAAAAAACAATAAAATATTTAAGAATAAACTAAACCAAGAAAAGGCAAGATTTATACATTGTAATTTCAAAATATAACTGAAAGAAATTTTAAAAGGCTTAAATAAAATCATATGTTCATGGTTTCACACTTCCCAAAGAGAAATACGAATTCCATATAATTCCTAAGAATATTCAAATAATCCTTTTTGAAGACATGGAAAAGTGAATCATTAAAATGATAGGAAATTATAAAGGACCCTGAACAGCTAAAACAATCTTGAAAAAGAAATAAAATGAGAGAACTTACACTTCACAATTTCAAAACTTGCTACAAAACTGTAGTAATAAAGACAGCACTGTACAGTTAGAATAGATTTATATATAAAGGATAGAATTAATAATTCATTCATCTATGGGCAGTTGATTTTTAACAATAAATACTTTTTTCAACATCACATACAAAATTAAATTGAAATGAACCAAAGGCATGTAAGTAAGAGCTAAATCATCAAAATCCTAGAAGTAAACAAGAGTAAACATCATGATCTTGGGCCAGCAAGATAGCTAAGTGGTCTAAAGCGACTGCTTAGACAAGCTTAGGCAGGCACAGTGGACAGCAGTTTGACCCCAGGCACCACATGCCACGCCAGCCATGCTCTGAAAGCAGGCTGAGACAGCTAAAAAAAATCATGCTCTTAAAACTTGTAACTAGATATATCAAAAATATCAATAGCAAAAGAAAAAAATAGAAAGTTGTACTTCACTGAAAACATTTTATTTATTTATTCATTTATTTATTTATTTACAGTACCGGAGATTGAATCTGGGACTTTGTGCATGCCAGGCAGGGACTTCTGCTGCTGAGCTGCCTCCCTTTCCCCAGTGAAAAAATTTTAACAGTTATTGTTCAGCAACAATCAAGTAAGAAAGTTAATAGACAACCTACAAAATGGGGAAACTATAATATTGACAAATTACATATTGAATAAAGGTCTAGTGTTCATAATATATAAAGAACTCTTACAACTCAACAACAAATGATAAACAACTAAATTAATGAATAGGCAAAACACTTGAATAGATATTTTCCAGAGAAAATATGCAAATGGCCAACAAGCATATGTAAAGATACTAAATATTAGTCATTAGCCACTAGAAAAATGCAAGTCAAAATCACAAGAAAATACTACTTTATACCCACTAGCATGATTATAATTTTTTAAAAAGGAAAATAACAAGTACTGGCTATGATGTGGTGAGATTAGAACCCTCATGTATTGCTGTTGGGAATAAAATATAAAATGATATAGCTACTGGGGAAACACTTTGATGATTCTCTCAAAACTTAAACATATAATTGCCATATGACCTACAAATTACATCCCTGGGTATACCAAAAAAATTACAACCAGGTGTTCAAACAAAAACTTGTATATGTATGTTCATAATGCTATCATAGCACTATCCACAATAGCTATAAGTAGATGAAAACATGGTAATACATGCAATGGAGTATTGTGCAACAATAAATAAGAATGAAGTTCTGATACATGCTACAATGTGAATGAACCTCAAAAGCATTATGCTAAGTGAAAGAACCCAGACACAATGGCCACATATTGAATGATTCCACTTATATGAAATTAATAGAATGGGAAAATATAGATGGAAAGCAAATCAATTATGAGAAGATAAGAATGACACATAACTGCTTAATAGCTATGGGGTTTCCATTCGAGAGAACCAAACAAGTTCTGGACCTAGATAGTGGTGATGGCTGTGTGACATTGGAAAGATATGTAATGCCACTGAATTATATATGTTAAAATGGTTAATATGTTAAATCTTATGTCATCCGTATTTTTCCACAATAAACATATTCAATTCAATCTTTCCAACCAATTCAGGCTGTCCATCCCAATTCACCTGATTTAGTGGTATTTTGAAGAAAATATGTAAAAGTATGGCCCAAATCTATAAATCAATTAATATCCATGCATCTCCTTTAGATATTAACCTATTTATTTACATATATAACCAAAGGTTGTTTCCATTCATAGGATCCTAATAGTGTCTTACCCTGACTGGCTGCACTAGTCACTTTCCTGTTGCTGGAATGAAACTCCTGACATGTGCAGCTTAAAGTAAGAGAGGTGTATTTTGGCTCATGGTTTTAGTGGGTACAGTCTACCGTCGGCATGGTAGACAGATATAGTAGAGCAAAAGCGTACATCTCTTGGGACCAGGAAGCAGAAAGAGAAGGCAGGATCTGGGGACAAGAAGATGCTCTTCCAGGTATGACCTGCCTTTTCTGACTAGGTCCCACCTCTGGACAGATGAAATTTTGGGGGAACATTTTAGATCTAATCTATAATACTAATAAGTCATTTTCATTATAAATCATTTCTGTTTACTTTTTAGTTCCAAAGGTTATTCACAAATCTGTATCAGTCTAAAAGCATTTCAAGTATAATCAAACTAATTTAATTAAATTTGAAAATGAAAGTGCTGATATGTTTAAATTCTACTAATTTACTAATTGTTGACAGTACTTGGTTAGCAGACTTAAAGATAAGTGTACACATGAATCCTCTCATGTGTCAACTGATTTTTCATATGGAGGTATGTCTAACAAATATTGTCACATGCCTGAAAATTTGAGATTTTTGAATTGGAAAGTAAAGAGGCTTTGCACTAAAAATCTCTATTTTTAAGAAAACTGAGGTCAGTGGCATTTTGGTAGCCTGAAGCAGAAGGACTGCAAATTTAAGCCCAACCTGGGCAATTTAGAAACTTAATGAAACCCTATCTCAAAATAGAACATAAAAGTAAAAACTGCTTGGGGATGTATCTCAGTGTGAAGACTTTCAGTTCAATCACCAATGCTTAAAAAAATCCCTGGTTTTGTTTCAAAAAAATAACTGAAAATATCTGCAAACTACTCCTTTTTCTGAAAAACTGTCCTCCATTGTTCATTCATGAAAATGATGATTATTTGGTCTGTGAAGTTGGATGGAAAATATAAACCAAAGTTCAAAATAAAAGCCAAGAGTGGCTGCTCCTTCCCCAAATACTCGTGCTAACTTCCCCCTTATGCTGAGCTATATCAGTAGAAAAAAGAATGCAAGAAGAAATTACATCTGTGATAGGGGACTCTCCCTCAACTTATCTCTTAGAATGTAGATAATACCGTGTTTGCCGTCAAGGTCTTTTCAAATGAACCCTTCATTTGTGGGCCTTTAGGTGACTCATCATCAATAGAGATGTCTTCCAAGTTCTTAGAAATTTTGTCAGATCGGAAAAGAGGTGGGCTGAGACTGGGTTGGCGTGGACGCAGTGGTGGGATCTGTCAAAGAGGAGAAAAGAAGGAAAAAGCTAAAACTTGCACGATTTCCCCCAGGTGGCCGCTACTGTCATTCCTTAAGTGTTGGAGAAACAAAAGCCTCATTAGAAAAAGAGGGGCTGGGAAGATGGCTCAGTAGAATAAGTGCTTGCCTGGCAAGCGCAAGAGCCTGAGTTCAATCCCCGGTTCTGGAAAAAAAAAAGGCCCAGGAAAAAAAAATCAGTTACCTCCATGCGTTCACTTCTAGTTTCTACACAAACCAAAGCCTAGCAGCTTTGGTTAACCTTCAGAGTGGCCACACACATTTGCCAATCCCCGAAGGCAAAAAATTCAAGTTGCTTGTGTGGTCAAAGCCAGAATGCCAATATTATTTCCTTAGTGGTATTAACTACAAATCTTGTTTGATTTTGACCTTTGTTTTAATTTTGTTTCTCGTCTGAAGTCCGATTCTTGGACAGGTGAGTCTGTGGAGAGAATCTGAGCCTGAGACTGGCATCCAAGTGACAGTCAGTGTTCCTATTATTTCAGGAACTGTCTGTGCTGGAACCCGACCACCTTCATTCCTTATCTTAAACCTGTCAAGATTTATTTTTCTAAGATTTTATGCAAATTTACAGATGTAGGGCCAGGGAGATGTCTCAGTGGAATAAGCGCTTCCCTGGCAAGCACAAGGGCCTGAGTTCAATCCCCGGTTCCGCCCCCCCCAAAAAAAAAATAAAGAAAATTTACAGATGTATGGCTAGGGTATAGTTCAGAGACAGAGTCCTTGCCTAGCATACGTGAGGTTCTGGGTTTGAACCTTGGAAAGAAGTAAGGAAAGAAAAGAGGCTGAAAGGAGAGGAGAGGGAAAAGGAGGGGAGGGAACAGGGAGCAGATAAGAGGAAAGAAGTGACAAGTCCTAAGGGGACAAAACTTTGCCATGAAGGTTCTTTGGGGGATTTAGCAGACTAATTTAGGAAGAGAGGGAGGAAAAAAGGAAGGACGGAGGAAGGAAGGAAGGAAGGAAGGAAGGAAGGAAGGAAGGAAGAAAAGAAGGAAGGGAGAAAGGAGAGAGAAGAAAGGAGGGAGAGAGGAAAGGAGGGACAGAGGAAGAAAGGAAAGATGGAAGAAGGGCAGGCAGATTGAGGTATAGTTTTAATTTCCTAAGAAGATTTTTAAAACTTCATGGGGTTCTTTTTGGAACTCAGTAGCCTCGTTAATTCTGAGTTTAAAGGTCATCGCACACTTTGCTTAGAGACATTGGTTCCTGCTGCGATCCTCTTGATGTGGACCAGAATCCCTGATTTTATCCTTAACACATATTAGTTAAGCATCTATAACTTGATTTCCAAAACATGGGCTGCGGAATGGGGCCAGGGAGATAGCTCAGGAGAATAAGTGCTTCCCTTACAAGCACAAGGGCCTGAGTTCAATCCCCGGTTCTGAAAAAAAAAAAATGGGCCTACAGCAGTGAGGAGACTCCATCAGCAGCTCATGGGAAGAGGATTGGTCAACTGTCCTGAAAATAAGCTCTAAAAACTAACCGAACTGTGCTAGTTTTTTTAGTGCCAAGGCAAGCTTTTTAGAAGTCATGTCAGTTTGAAAGGCCCCTGGGTTCTCAGCTACCATGCATGCTTGTCCCCTTACTGTAAGGCTCAGAAAGGGGAGGAAGGCCAAGTTCAGGAAGTCTTAGTTCTGCGGATAACACACTACTATGACGGACTGTTGGACTATATTGGGTTATTTTGCTGAATCCAAGCACCTACAATATTTGAATGGCAATGGAACACCCATCTCTAACAAAAACAAAAACAAAAAGGGGGATATAAACTAAGGACCATTTTGTAGTGAAAAAATGCATATGTATATATCTGTATATACAAAGTAGTTAAGATATATATATATACAACTAGTTTCTCTTAGTTCAATGAGAAGGATGATTTGTACTAATATTGCTCAGACAAGAGATCATGTCTCCATTTTGTCCTCTGAATAACTACTATGAAGACAACAATATGCAATGTATTAATTATTGTAACTGTGTTACTAACCTGTTTTGAAACTGTCTCATTGCTATTTCTTTCTCATTAAAATTGATTTTTTAGAAAAGGTAGCCTAAAGGCGACAGTGAGAACAATTGCTGTGCCTACTTTCTGAAGAAGGGCTGCAGGGGGAGAGTTGGGCCTGACAGTGATACAGAAAAACTGCCTTATAGTCTTGTTTCCATAAATGACTGGATTTAATTTGATTTAACAGCACGAAAATGCTAATAAGATGCTTTCACATCTTCTTAATTACATGTGGTCAAGTAAAGAGGAGATAAAATGTCCTGGGAATCTAGGCACCCACATTGCTAATACTTCAAAGGTACTATCTGGCAGGGAGTAAAACTGGCTCAGTCCTGGTATTTCTTAGTTTTGTTTTGTTTCTCAGTACATGATTGAACCCAGTGTCTTCACACTGAGCTACATCCTTAGCACTTTCTTTCATTTTTATTATGAGACGGAGTCTTACTATGATAAGTCACTAAATTGTCCAGCCTGGGCTCAAACTTGCAGTTTTTCTGCCTCAGCCTCTCAGAGTGCTAGGATTACAGGCATGTGCCTCCATGCCTGGCTTAACAGAGGTCGTTAGGCAGAAACCAGCGCAAGTATGTGGGGTATTTAGTAGACATGTCAGAAATAAGCCTCACTTAGCTTTTTGTGGTTGGGAGGGTACTACAGATTCAATCTAGGGCCTCCTGCATGGCAAGAAAGTGCTCTACATTGACTATATCCTCAGTCCTCACAATTATGCTTTGCCAGATGCAAAACAATCAGCTTTCCAGTGGAGAAGTTCTCCTCATTGTATGACCTCCCTGGTTACACAGGGCTTAACTCCACCTATATGCTGAGAGAAAGAAGGGGCAGTTGGTAAGGGTCAACTCCCTGGCAATATCTCCAACTCTATGTGGAGAATGTCTGGTTCAGAGTTCCAGAGGAGTCTGAGTAAGCAGCAGTTGTCTTGTATAGTTTACAATTAGCTGGAGGTAAGACATTATCTTATGTATATATTACACTTTATTGGGGCTGAAAATGTGTCTTGTCCAGACAAACACAAAGGATTTGAACATCTCAGAAAATGGACCAGTGAAGACATGGCTTTTGAGATTGACATATTTGTGTTGATATATTTGTATCAGATTTCCAAGTCTGCAACTTATTACCTGGGTGTGTTTGAATTATTTCTCAAACCAGCATTCAGCCCTCACAAGCAACTCTTCCCGAATGTGAATGCCAGAATCCTTATAGATAAGGAAAGAAAGTCTCAGAGAGGTTAATCAACTAAACCAGGGTCTCACATCAGTAAGCAGCAGAAAATTCAAGTACAGATCTGTCTGCTTTAGCTGCCTCATGCTCTGAACAATTCCACTCATTACCTCGGTGAGCTTGGAGCCTGCAACCCAGCCTCCACTTCTGGGCGTGAATCGAGGCATAGATCCAGACATAGTTCCACTTCTAGGCAGAGTTCTGAAAGCCTGAGATCTCTGTGGAAGAGAGAGAAAAACTCAGAGATTGGCTTGCTAACACACAAAGCAGTGTACATCGCTGCCAATATTATCAAAATATTTTTGGCATGTAAGATAAATAAATATGGTAACCAAACCAGCCAACACTGCGTGATGGACAATAGATAAGTTGTACATTTATCCATTTTGTCATTCAGAGCTTGCAATAGGCTTGTAGAGTGGAATCAGCTAAAAAGCAGTGCTAATTCCCCTCCACCACACCTTTTTTAGGGGGCGTAGCAAGAAGAGGGAATGGAAGAAGAGAAGTATGCAAATTAGACACTGATATTTAATTCCATTGTTACCCCCAGAGATTTGCTTCTCTGAAACTCTGTAGCAGGGCCTAGTTCTCTTGCAGATCTTTCAGGCTCTGTATCCAACGTGAAGATGCTCTCATGGGATAGGGCTTTGTTCCCCATGCCGCTCTTGCTCCTGGAGAGAAAGAAAAGGTCCTGTGAAGGGGGCTAAGGGAAAGGAACTGAAGACAAATGTATATTCATAATATAGGCTGCCAGAGATACCTCAAGAGGAATGTGGGGAGGCATCTGTACTGATATGGAAAGCGGTCCCTAAGATACGAGGACAAAAAATAAAAAGTAGTATGCACCCATTTAATATATACACATTACATACATCTATAAATTTTGTTCAAAGAAAAGCATTGGGAATAATATCCACTGAGTTGTTGGTGCCAGTTACAGAATGGTACTATGAGGAGAGGGATTTCCATTTCTTAATCATGTACTCCTGTGTAATTTTAATTCTTTATATTATTAATATGTCTTCCACATAAAATAATTTCACTGAAGTGTAGTTTACATACCATACAATTCACCTATTTAAAATATACAGTTTTATAGTGGCAAGCCTGGGGAATGGATGCAGTTAAAGATCTCTCACACCCAGTTTTTTCTTCAGTGTATCTTTTATGTGTTTCAGTGCTTGCTTCAGCAGCACATATATTAAAATTGATTTGTTTCAAAATATGAAAAATCTTCTCAGATGTAAGAGATTCTCATTCAGCATGGGTTTTTTTTCCTGCTTCACACAACAGACGTGTGACACATTTGTCCTATTTTCAAATTCATATCATATACCATCCACACCCCTCTTCTCTCCAACCTTGTAAGCCCAGTTGGAAATCCCTTTTGATTGTGAATGGAACCAATTTATTTTGATCACAATTGTGTGTGAAGAAATATCATGGACAAGTTAGAAACAAATAAAAGGCTAAAGGCACAAAAGCTCCTTTGGGGACAAGGGGATATATTTTACATTTTAAAATATAAAGTAAAGGAATCATAATAAAAGAAAACTAGAGACTAATACGTACTATAAATACAGATGCAAAACTCCTTAATAAAATGCTAGAAAACTGAATCCCGTAGCATGTAAAACATATATATATATATATATATATATATATATATATATATATAATAACAAAGTAACATGTGCAAGGAATGCAAAGTTAGTTTAACACAAAAATTCATACATATAATTTGCTGTATCAATAGAAAAGAAACAAAAGTCAGGTGACAATTTTAACAGCTGCAGAAAAAGAAAAGCAGCTAACACAATTTCCATCAAGTACGATATGCCTTGACAGAGAGGCCATTCATACAAAAGCCACAGCAAATATCATACTTGATGATGAAAGCCTGGATGCTTTCCCTCTCAGATCAACAAAAACACAAAGATGAATACTTTTACTACTTTAGTTCAATATTTTATTGGCCATAAGAGCCAGAAAAATTTCGTTAAAAAATGAAATGCATCCAGAACATAAAAGAAGACAAAAATTATATCTATTTGCAGATAACATGATTGTGTACATAAAATCTCTTAAGAAATCCATTAAACGTACTAATAAGTGACTTGAGCAAGCTTGCAAGGTATAAGATCAATATCCCCAAATTATATTTCTATATACATGCAATGAAAACTCTGAAAAGGAAATTAAGGCATCTCTCCACTTGCAATTGCATGAAAAAAATAAAATACTTAGGAATAAATTTAACAAAATATGTATAAAACTTATAGTCTGAAAACTATAAAAACATTGCTGAGGGGCTGGGGAGATAGCTCAATAGAATAAATGCTTGCCTGGCAAGTGCAAGAGCCTCAGTTCAATCCTCAGTTCCGGAAAAAAAAAACCTACTGAAATAAAGAAGCCACTAAATAAATGGAAGGCCATCCCATATTCCCAGGTTGGAAGGCTTAATCTTGGGATGATAGTACTCCACAAATTGATCTACAAATTCAATGCAATTTTTATTGAAATTCCAATTCCAAGACAACGAACTACTGTTATAAAGATAGACACATAGATCAATGGAATAGAGTTGAGAGCTCAGAAATAAACCCATATATCCATATTTACTTGATTTGCAATAAGGGTGTCAAGACCAGTCAGTGCAGATAAGAACAGTCTTTTTTATTTTTTTAATTCATACATATTTGCAGTATATGCAGTTTACAATCATCTTGGGAAAGTGTATATGTACATAACACAATTTGGTCGGTTTTTGTGATCTCCTTTGCCTTCCCTTCCACCTCCCTCCCACCTCTTCTAAGTCCCCTTTCCCTGTTTTCATTGTTGATATTATTCATCTTATCTTGTGTGGTATCTATACATCATAGGATACTACTCAGCTTTAAAGGACAAATTTGAGACTTCTGTAGAAATAGGGGTGCACCTGGAAAATATAATGTTGAGTTAAATAAATCAGACACATAAACTTAAATAACATGTAGTATCTCTTATCTGAGTATGACAAAGAATAGTCTTGAAAACAAATTGCAACTGGATATCTACATGCAAAATAAATCTGTACCTTTATTTCATACCATACATAAAAACTGACTCAAAATGGATCAAAGACCTAAATATAAGAGATGAAGCTATAAAATTCTCCAAAAAAAAACATAATGATGAATCTTTCTATATTGGAAAATGTACTGTTAGACAGGAAATTAAAAACTCAAGGGGCCAGGGAGATGGCTCAGTGGAATGAGTGCTTCCCTGGAAAGCACAAGGGTCTGAGTTCAATCCCCTGTTCTGCCAAAAAAAAAAAAAGAAAGAAAAACTCAAGCAATAACAACAAAAAGATAATCAAATTTGAACATGTTTCATTTGGTCCTAGCCTTTCAAGGTCAGTGAAGACTCGGGACATAGGAGAACCTGTACTGTAACAACATGTAACTCAGTTGTGCTCCAAATTTTCTGATCAAGAAGATTATGGAGCCACAGAGATACGTGTTCGATGATCTAAAGTGAGGCTGGGGAGAGTCACATGGAGAGAAAAAGCATTTTCTCAAGCTTTCACAGAGAACAAATTTGTCAAGCAATGGCTGTGACTCATCCTCATGTCAGACACTGACAAAAGGATGTACAAAGGGCAGTACAGGGCTACAGGATAATTCCTGAGCGTACTTGGCTGACCTTATCAGATGCAAAAGCTACATTTCTTGGTATATAGGTCTTGCTATATCTTGGTCTTAACCATCCAGAAGAAAAGTATAAAAACGAGGTATATAAAGTAAATCCATATTAATATGATGAGTTGTAAAAGGCTCAAGTCAATAACTTCTGAGGATAACCCACTAATATTATAGACTGCTAGACACTGTTAGTTTGTTTAGTTGAATTCAAACAGCTATAGTATTTAGATGCCAATAGAATATTCACCTCTGACAGGACAAAAAAAATTAAAATTAAAATTAAAAAATAAAAAATAAACGTTTCAAAATATCTGTGGGCTGACTATGCAGCTCAGTGGTAGAACACCTGCCTTGCATGTGTGAGGCCTTGCATTGCATCCCTAGTGCCAAATAATTGCTCTTCAAAAGCTACAAGCAAGAAACTGAAAAGAAATTTAGTGGGAAAACATATTTGCAAATCACATATCTGACAAGGGATTTCTATCCAAAACATATAAAGATAAACACTTATTAACAACTCTCATGGCTGAATTGAGTTATTTAATAATAAAAAGGTAAGCAACCAACTAAAAACTAACAAAATATCTGAATATACATTTCTCCATAGAAGTTACACAGATGGATAACATCTCATGGAAAGGTCTTTAGCATCATCAGTCAGCAAGGCTATATAAATTAGGCCCATAATGAGATCTTATTTTGAACCCACTGAAATAGCTGGAATAAAAAAAATTCACATAACTAAGTGTTAATACGGCTGTGGAGAAACTGGAAATTCTTATGCACTGCATTTACATTTAGTTGTAATGTAAAAGGTAAATCACTTTGGAGAAGAGTCTGGTGGTCTCTCAAAAGCTTAAACATATACTTATCATTTGACTCAGTAATTCCACTCCTATGCACACACACAGGAGGAATAAAAACGCATATCTGCCCCAAAAGTTGTACACAAATATTGATACCAACATCATTCATAACAACTCAAGATGAAAACAACCCACTAACAATCAATTGATGAATAAATAAAATGCAAGTAGTGCTATTAAGTAATAAAAGTGCTGATGCCTGTTACAGCACCAATGAACCTAGAAAACATTATGCGGGGAGATAGCTCAGTAGAATAAGCGCCTGCCTGGCAAGCACAAGGGCCGGAGTTCAATCCCCAGTACCACCAAAAAAAAAAAAAAAATCTTTTAGGATATCAAGTCCGCATCTTGTACAGCAATTAACCACTAGGAAAAATGCATGCAATGTGTTAATTATTGAAACTGTCCTACCAATTTGGTTTGAAACTGTCTTATTGCTATTTGTTTCTCAATAAAATTATGGGGAAAAAAAAGAACCTAGAAAACATTATGCCAAGTGAATAAGTTAAAGAGCTTTCCTGCCACCACTTAAGAATGTTAGTGGACTCCGGGCAACCTATGGGACTCTAATAAGCTCTGCCCTTCCTTAGCCCCCAGCGCGCAAGCTTTGAGCTTCTGCTAGTGCCAGTAGAAACTTTTAAGAACTTTGGTGAACTCTGGGCAGCCTGTTGGACTTTGTCTGGGTGATTACTGGGAGCTCCAAAAATGCCAAAATGCAGGAGCAAAAGGCAATCTCAATGCTTTAGCCCACCCAGAACAAATCCAGGAGACAAAAATGTACAAGATCTTGTAAACTGTACACCTGAAATCTCTGAAAAGACAACAACTGAAGTAAAGAAACAAGTCCAGCAGGCTACAGAAGAAATAAGATCAGAAATAATCTCTCAGGTCCAAAAAAAAAAAAAGGACGACAATTGTGAAAGAACTGCTCAGCACAGCTAAAGAAGGCAGATTGAAAAATGGAGGAGAATAGAAAAATGATGGAAACACTGAGTGAACAATACAGGAAAAAACTAGAATGCATGAAACAGATTCAAACAGATATCAAGAAATTAAGAATTCCATTGAAAGCTAGCAAAACCGCTTGAATGAAAGTGAAGATAGACTTTTAAACCTCCAAGA